AGCAAGGCTCATGTACAACTTGAGAAGAAAAACCACCTTCTTCCCCTGCCCTGCATTAATGCTTAACGTGCTTGAAATTAATTAATTTATTTATTTATTTTAAGTATTATACATTTCTTGTACAAGTTCACTGTATGGGTAATGTAAAATCCAGGGTGTGTTGAATTCAAGTACAAATTCAAAAGCAAGTCAATTATTAATAGTGACTTCTAATAGTATTAGCTAAGTGCTGATTATTCCACCTGTGAACAGAGACTTTAGCAGAAATGAGTGTTTTTCCACAGGCCTGCACTGATGTTGCGTAGTGTAGTGGTCTCTGATCCAAGTCACTCTTGAGCGATCTGTTCCAGGAACAGTTTTCCTGTAGGGCTGTAACAGGAGCCGTGTTCACCTCTGTTGTCTGGAGCCAGTGTGAACTTATCAACGCGAGTTTGATGAGAGAGCTAGAGGCTCTTATGTTCTTCTCTCTCGTACTCTGGTCCAAAGAGCAACATCTGCTTGATTTGAGTGTATCCTGTGGGAGAATATTTTTCACTGCAGCTTTTGGAAGCATTTATTGATATGGAAAATTTTTGGATGTATCCGGTAGATCGCCGCCATGGTGATGAGGTGAGGAGTTCGTTGTGTGAATGTGCTCTGGGTTTATCTGTCAATGTTTCAGTACTTCAGATATGTTCATTTGAATGATAATTATAAGCTAAAGTGAGAATGTTCTTCAATTTTCATTCTACATATCTGATGATATTATTGTCACGGAGATACATTGTGGGACTGTGCAGTATTTATATGTTATGACAAACATGAACCGAAATTATTTTTTAATATTTTATCCAAATGCGCTCTAGTTGAGGGTATGACTCATTTGTTCCCTAGTATTTCACATTTCGGCCTCTTCAGAGAGATGAGGTGTAGTTTTGAGATGGCAATATAAGAAGACCGATCTCTTATGTACTTTTCTTTTGTAATTTTTCCCCCCTTGACCTGCTGTCTGAACGTTTAACGGATACGTCTGACTGAAACTTGACAGTTTCAAATTGTCACATTTTTGCATGTCTTTTCATTATATCACAATCTGTTTCATTTACCTCATTGCTTTGCTTTTAAAATTCAATTAAAATTCAAAATAACATTTTAAAATGTACTTTTTTGTTTATTTTGTTTATTTAAAAAAGCATGAAGACTTTAATTGATCTAATATACTCTAAATGTCACATGAGTAAATGTAGCTTTTATATTTCTTCAATCAGTTGTCCAAAATAATAGACCGTAAAGCATGTAATATTAATTAGTATGTCTCTTTTGTCCAGTCACCAGGCTCAGACTCCACCTCCCCACAGGGGGCGGAGTCTTCCAGCCATCACCTGCCATCACACGAGGGGAGTGACAGCTTTGAGTCTCCGTCCCCAGCCAGTAAAGAGGTAGGAGGCTATGAATAAACCTCTAAAACTGTGCTGAAATTGGATGATTCTTAATTATTATTGGTAATAATATCCAGTAGGTGCTCTAGGAACTTAATTAGACCCATATTATAGGCGGCAGCATTAGAGTTCTGACTCAGTGTGATATAGAAGTTATTATAAATTATCCACGATACTGTTGAAATAGATTAATTGGAGCAAATAAAGTTTAAAACATATTAAAGTTTTGCTATTTATTGTGTGTGTGTGTGTGTGTGTGTGTGTGTGTGTGTGTGTTTATATAAAATAGCAAAGCAAAAATACAGGATCTCGAAATGTAATTACATTTTTTTTTAAACATTTTTTAAAAATGGCCAAACCCTCAATCATTATCTTTAAAAAGCCCAAGAAGTGGAATCTTAGCAGTTCTAAAATCACTGTAAAATACGGCTTCTTGGGATTATATTATATTATATTATATTATATTATTTCTGCAAATAGTACCAGTTCAGTGCATTATGAAGTGCCATACCTAAAAATAACAACTTGCCTTGAAGAATGTTGTATTGAGTCATTTGTGTGCTTGTTCTTGTATGTGCAGTCAAGGAGAAGTCTTGCTTCATTCCCGACATATGTGGAAGGTAAGAAGATTTCCTATAATTTCCTTTAATTTCCTCTTCACGTCCGGGTCCTCAGCTACCGAAATGAATCTTGATAGCACATCCTGAGCATGTTTTGAAGATGTTCTGAAATGTCCCTCTCCTCTCTGTTAGTACCAGGCCCATGTGACCCAGAGGACCTCATTGACGGTATAATCTTTGCTGCTAACTACCTGGGATCCACCCAGCTGCTCTCAGACAAGACGCCCTCCAAAAACGTGCGCATGATGCAGGCTCAGGAGGCTGTGAGTCGCATTAAGGTGAGGTGAAACGGTTCTGTCTTTACCCCGCTGTTGTAAACTTCATCGGGAGAAGTAAACCTGAGCTTCTATGAATCTACCTCAAGAAATTTCCTAAGCGATGCTTGCTTCAGGAGCAGCATAAATGTTGCAAGAAACCAAAAGTGACAGTTTTAGGACAAAAGAATGAGATTTCATAAGAAATGCAGAGCTGTGCTCTGACTGTATCCTGAGCATGTATTTATTGCACAAGCATTTTATTCCTTGTATACAACATGATCAAATTGAAATGTCAGCTCACAGCAGATGAAGAGAGATGATCATAAAACTAAGAGAGTGTGTGGTCCTCTTGAGGTAATGAAATGATTCTGTAGTCAAATGCAGGGACCTATCCTGTGATACTTGTTCCTAAAGGACCAGAGACATTTAGCACCTCCCTCCTGTTCATCCTCCTGCAGCATAAATCAGCCATTCGCCCTGTCAGCTGCATTACTCAGCATTTTTTACCTCCACCTTAAAAAATGCAGTGACCACCGCACCTATGCCATTTAGTGTTCCTTCAGCATTTTCCTTTGTATGTACATTTTGTGTTAAAATGTTCGATTACAGATCGCTGTGTGGTACGGCACACAACAGTATCAGACTGGTTGATTGCAATTTTTTTTTAATTATGAGGTCACTGAATGTTAACTGGCATCAGATTCTTCTGTTTTATCAAATTGACCAAGGTAGTCTTACTAGATAAGCTAGTAATACTAGTAAAGCAGCATAATAAGGATACTAGCATCCCATGCTAGAGACCTGAGCTCAAAACATATACTGGTACTCTAGGAATGCACTTGTATTAAGATTCTATATGATTATTATAAGCTGATCTATATATATATATATTTTTGATTAAATAAATGCAGCCTTGATGAGCATAACATACTTCTTCTTCAAAAAAAAAAACATTAAAATATAAAAACATACACACACACACACACACACACACATTTTCTAATCTAAATGTAAAATAGAGGAGATAAACTGCAGAATTTAATATCCAATATCTCCTTACACGTTATATATCCGAAATTGATTGATAGAAATAAATAAATAATAAAATAATATAACATCCCTATGTTCTGGTCTACAAAATATGAGATGATATGATCTTCTTAGCAGTTATAGTTAAAGGGTTCCTCAAATGAATTTTGGTCAAATATTAATGTGAAACCTTCACACTAATTTAATGTTTACTGAATTACAGTCAATATACTGTGCTGTTGTAGGTTATTTGATTTAACGGGGTTGCTTGTTTGAGTCAGGGACGTTCTCATATTTTAAAAGACATAACTTAAAAATGCATTAGTGATCTTGCAGCCTTCAAAGAATGACAAATAGCATGAGGTCTTTACTGACCGTTTTTCCACTTTTCTTATAATGGAGAAAGATCCCTCCATTATAAGAGGGATCAGTTCAATGTGGGCCAAATAGATGTCAAATCTTCAGATTGATGCACTGGACCCATTCCTTTGCAAATATGTAAATGCATATAGGTTATACAAGAACCACTATATTTTATTTTCTGTATGTAATCTCTGTTATTAAATACAATTGAAGATGATCATAGGTTATGAATTCTTTGTTTTATTGGGTCACACTTCATCTGCATGTGTGAGACATCGTACCTTCTCCCATACACAATCATGAGCTCAAAATCAGTGAGATTCCTGAGGGCGTTTTTAATAGCATAAGTATATAAAGCAAGTGTAAATTGCATGCATTTGGAGAGACGTCTGAATCAATACCCCCTGCCTCAGCTGCCGTGAATCTTCCTTAGATGGCCAGTTTAATCCATTACCAGAGCCTGCTAGCAAGTTTGAACTTGCTCTTAATCAAATTTTCAGCAGAGCTCATCTCTGCTTTGTATAGTCGATTTTTTATGAACAGAATGTTCTGTAATATAAAATCAATAGTTGACATATGATGTTAAAAGAACAAATGGGCCACCTGGTGGATGATGGCACAAATTACCATGAAATGAAACCAAAGGCAACATATTGTAGCAGGGTGGTGTCTAGTAAGCTTGGCTTGGTGTCATCTGGATCCATTCTAGTCACCCCACGCTGATAAATATCCCAGAAGTCACTTTTCAGATGCAGCTTATTGGAGCAGAAATATTCCCCAAATGTGGTTGGTCTTGCTGAGCTCTGCTTTATCTAACAATGTTCCTGTCTTTGTTTGTTCCATGCTAAGCAGACGGCCCAGAAATTAGCCAAAAACAGGAAGAAGGTGCAGTAATTGCTCATCGGTTTGGTGTTTTGTTTTTATTTTTGTTCTTCGTCTTCTCTTTTTTTCCTGGTTTCAGCACTTCAGTGTTTTCATAATTCCTGTCGCTCTGCCATTTTTCTGAATCCAGCAATGAGTCATGTACCTGTGTCCGTCCGCACAGTCTGTTAGTAACACCATTGTTCATTCCACACCAAGCATTACCTCAGTTTTATCACCAGATCTTACATGGGGAAGTCGTGGAATAAGTTCAAATCAGGAAAGTCTAGTTTGCTGGATACAGAAAATGCAAGTGATCTTTACTTTCTTCTTCTGTGTATCATATATTTTTCTTTCTGAGGTACTGTGCTGTGTTTGTGGCTGTTTTTGAAGGTGTATATCTGGCACAGCATGTTTTGCACTTCTCTTGATCTTTTCAATTCAGCCTGTCCTGCACATGGTGGAAAACTCTCTCAGTTTCTCTCTCTCACTGAATCTCTTCAAATGAAGAACAAAACTAACCAAACTAACCCCATGCCAACTTGCAATACTAGCTGGCTTTAACAGAAACTTGCAGGTTATCAGAGTTACACAATGAAGGAGAGAGTGTAAAAGAATTTTAATATCTGGCCTTGAAGATGCCAAATTTTAGAGATGCCTTGTTGCTTGCACGCTCCTTCGTGGCATCTCTGGGTCTTGTCAGCTCTCTCTCTCTTTCTGTCTTAGAGTTATTCTGTCACTGTCTCTCTCAGTGAGTGATATTGTGTGGTTTTCTATCTTCAGGCTCCAGAAGGTGAAGCTCAGCCCATGACAGAGGTGGACATCTTCATCTCCACTCAGAGAATCAAAGTGCTCAATGCAGACTCACAGGTACTTCATCATCCATAAACGTGATTTTGGTTTCACCCAAATTACCATTACATATGCCAAACTGGGTAGAAGCACACTACATTTGACCAAAACTGCACAAAATACTAGCGCAGACATCCTATGTATCACAAGGAGGCAGTGTCCGGACAGAATATTTGTGTTTTACAGGAGTCATGAGAAATCAAAATTTTCTTGATCATCTAAAAAATGAAACTATACACTAATGTTTAAAAGTTTTCAGTTGGTAAGACTTTCATTTTCAAAGAAATTAATACCTTTATTCATCCAAGATGCAAAAAAATTATTAAAAGTGACAGTAAAGACATTTGTAATGTTACAAATTTCTATTTCAAATGTTAAGTTCAAATACTACTCTTTTGAATTTTCTATTCATCAAAGAATCCTTTTTCATCAAAAAAACTCACAAAATATTAAGCAATACATCTGTTTAAACATGTTCTTAAATCTGTTTAAATGTTTCTTGAGCAGCAAATCAGCATATTAGAATGATTTCTCAAGGATCATGTGACACTGAAGACTGGAGTAATGATGCTGAAAATTCAGATTTGCCATCACAGGAATAAATTACATTTTAAAATATATTACAATAGAAAACCATTATTTTGAACTGTAATAATATATTTAAATAATAATATTTCACATATTACAGTTTTTACTGTATTTTTGATCAAATAAATGCAGCCTTGGTGAGCATAAGATACTTCTTTTATTAAAACATCTTACCGACCCAAAACACACACACACATATATATATATATATATACACTATATATAATAGTGCTGTCAAACGATTAATCATAATATATGTGTGTGTACTGTCTATATTTATTATGTATATATAAAGACACACACATACAGCATATATTTTGAAAATATTTACATGTATATATTTATATTCATATAAATTATATAATATATAAATATATTTAATATATAAACGTAACATATTTTTCTTAAATATATACATGCATCTGTGTGTGTTTGACAGCACTAATATATATATATATATATATATGTAAATCATCTCCTGGTTCGCAGGAGACCATGATGGACCACCCTTTAAGGACCATCTCCTACATCGCTGATATTGGGAACATCGTGGTGTTGATGGCCAGAAGGAGAATGCCTCGCTCCGACTCTCAGGAGAACATGGAAGCCTCTGAGCCGGCCCAGGACGAGAAGCGCCAATACAAGATGATCTGTCACGTGTTTGAGTCTGAAGATGTGAGTTCTTCATCCTAACTATGTGTCAGTGTGACCTTATCAAGCGACTGCTAAAGGAGGCTGTCGTAGCGACAGTTTCAATTTATTGCTTCAGCATTGTAAAACGATATAACAGATTTACACACTTTGCCATACTGCTGTTGTTGGAGTTTATGAAAACAATAAGCCAGTCTAGGCCATTCATTACCACAGTTAAGGGGAGTTCTGCCACAACTCTGCCTTTACACTTTTTCCACATTTAATTCTCCATATTTGCCTAATTCTTCTTAGTCCGCCCTCACATTGTTTCCCAGCATGCTCAGTATTGCAGTTACTGGGCATTGTGGTGACCTCTAATAGCATTTATCCAGATGGTGTTCCTGGGCGTCTTGCTGCGTGGGTTGAATCAGGAGACAGGATGTGACCTTTTCTCTGTTCAGCCGCAGAGGCTATTTGAATTTAAAGAGCCAGTATATGTCACAGCGTATGTCACAGCACAGCATACAGCAGTGACATGAGGGCAAAAAGGCATGTATTCGGCTGTCCTGAGGAACGCCACCCTTGTCGTCTCTTGACCCATGTGTGTATCTGTTATCTTTTAAAAAAAAAAAGTGCTTTCTTCCAAAAATTGTAAGCATGCAATGTAATGTGTTAGTTATGGATTATAATTTTAGTTGTTTAACCTGATTCCTCTTTGTGCTCAGGCGCAGCTCATAGCTCAGTCCATCGGCCAGGCTTTCAGTGTGGCGTACCAAGAGTTTCTGCGTGCCAATGGCATCAACCCAGAGGATCTGAGCCAGAAAGAGTACAGCGACCTCCTTAACACACAGGACATGTACAACGATGACCTCATTCACTTTTCCAAGTCTGAGAACTGCAAAGATGTAAGTGGACAGCCCATGCCTTGTGGAAACAGAAGATTACTGTGAAATTTTGAGAATGTGCCTCGATAATGTCAGAATTATCAGTAATGTTGACTAGAGCATGTTTTAGCAGTGATATGTGTGTGTGTGTGTGTGTGTACACTACAGGTTTACATAGAGAAGCAGAAGGGGGAGATTATTGGGGTGGTGATCGTGGAGTCGGGCTGGGGCTCCATTCTGCCCACAGTTATTATAGCAAACATGATGCATGGCGGCCCGGCTGAGAAGTCCGGCAGGCTGAACATTGGGGACCAGATCATGTCCATCAGTGGCACCAGCCTGGTGGGGTTACCCCTCTCCACCTGCCAGAGTATTATCAAGGTACAGCGGGTGCAAAATCAAGTGGACTTCAACACAATAATTAATTAAATTCAAAGATTTAATTCTGATTCTCAGACGTTCACTGAATTTATTTGTGGCCAATTCTTTTAAATTTAATGTATTGCATAAAACATATTGCTCTTATTTTCTAGGGATTGAAGAACCAATCAAGAATAAAGCTTAACATTGTGAGATGCCCACCTGTGACCACTGTCCTCATCAGAAGACCAGACCTGAGATATCAGCTGGGATTTAGTGTGCAGAATGGCATTGTGGGTATTCTGAAAAATAATTGAGTTCGGCATTGGCTAATATTGCATATTTGCATATATATTTAAATGTGCATACTCATTTCCTGTATTTTTATGTTTATATATTACCTTCGCCTTCATCTAACATTCACTTCAAGTTAATCTTTAAAAACATTAATAACAACAATATTAAATGTAATTTTTATCAAATCTCTAAATATATATTTTTTGTACTGTACCATATAATGTTATGAAGCCTAAAATCACTTGTAGCATTTAAAATAATGAAATTGTATTTTTTTTTTGTTTTTAATGTATTTAAATTTATGTAGACAAAATAGTAGGGAATATCAGCTATTCAGTATCACCTGTTTATCATCCTTAACAGTAAAATAGTTATTGTTATAGTTATAGTTATAGTTATTGTTATTTTAAAAATAAAAATTATTTTTATAATTTAATGTTGTAATAGTTTGTAATACGTATTACAGTAAGTGTTTTTAATGTATTTAAATTTATGTAGACAAAATAGTAGGGAATATCAGCTATTCAATATCACCTGTTTATCATCCTTAACAGTAAAATAGTTATTGTTATTGACCAGATTTTTAATAATTTAATGTTGTAATAGTTTGTAATACGTATTACAGTAATGTTTTCCAATAGTTACTTGATTTGGAATGAATTAGGTCGTTATAGTTAACTAAAAAAAAATACCTGTTTGTTACAAAAAAAAAATTTAATGTTAACCAAAATAAAACATAATAGAACTTAAAATTATTTTATTTCAGCCAGTTGCCAAAGCAACATTTCTCATTTCTGTTTAGTTTAACTTGATGAACTAAAATAAATAAAACTAAAGTAAAAACTATATAGACATATTTTACTAATAAAATGACAAAAACACAATTACTAAAACTTTAATTGAAAATGGAAAATACAAAAATAAAAACTAATTACAAATTTTAAAAACTATAATATTATCTCAATGATAAATTAAAAATAGCACTGGTCTGAAGTACAACTTTATTGTATTTTGCATCCTCTAGATTTGCAGTCTGATGAGAGGAGGGATAGCAGAGCGCGGTGGGGTGCGTGTCGGCCACCGGATCATTGAAATCAATAGCCAGAGTGTTGTGGCCACCCCTCATGAGAAGATTGTACACATTCTGTCAAATGCAGTTGGTGAGGTAAGTCTGGGGAACACGATCAAGCTCCATGGTGCCACATTTGCCTAACAACATAATATTTTCACATCACTATTTCTCCAATGAGGTAATTTATTTAAATTATGATCAAGAAACTGGAAACTTGGTGCCGTGTTTAGCTCTGTTTCATGTAGATCACAGGCTGTCAACAATGGCCCCAAAAGTTTTTTGTAAATTTTTCTCAGAAGTATTTTTGCAATGACTGTAAATCAACCGGTGTCAATGTGAGTTCTGTATGAATTTCACAGAGGTGTCCTATCAGAGTAACCACAGGTGTAGTTCATCACATTAACTACGAGCATGATTCACTAACATTTGACAACCAGAAAGTGTCCAAACATGCTGGCAACGTCCGAAATCGCAATACTGAATATAAAGTTCTTTTGAAGAAGTCATTTCTTTGCGACCGGCAAAATAAGTACCGTAAAACTTCAAATAATAGCCCGGGCTTCTATTTACCCAAATCGCCGAACTGCATATAGTATGAATGCGTGTAGTATGAATGTAATCTAAATGTACTTCATTCGCCATGTTATTATCATCTGACCTACCAGTGTCACTGCCATTCATAAATCCCATGGCCTCATGGGATAGAAAAGTGTCCACCCAATGCTCACTTTAGGATCTCGCTGGAAGTAATAGGTCATCCAGGTACTTTTCGTCTACTGTTTTGTGAATACTGTGAAGTCGGACGTACTACTACTGTTTTTTGCCTACTATATCGTAGGGAAGTATGCGATTTTGGATGAAGCCTTTGTCTTAGGGAAATGTTCCGGGTTCAGTACAAGTTAAGCTTACATTTTATAAATTCTAAAAAAAAAAAAAAGGTTTTTACAAGGGAATTAAATTAGGCTGATCGATAAATGTTAAAATACTAAAATATTATAAAATACAGTAGTATAGCCACAAGATGTAAACATGTTGCATGTAACATGGTTTTAGTGTGAAAAAATCAAACTAACCATTTCTGTGTAAAGTTACTGTATATCCAACTTCAAAACTCACAGTGCAAAACTTACAGTACAACATCTAAAACCGTAAAACAACTGTAAAAATTTGAACATTTATGAGAAAAATGATGAGCTCAAATAATGCACACGTTTAAACTGAATAATTTAAGTGCTTTTATCAAATTTAAGAAGCTGCGCATTTCTGCTTATAAATTTTCCAAAAATCGACCCCATTCACTTTCATTGATGGTGCCCTATGAAATGTATTTTTTTTTTGGTAATCAACATTGTCACAAATAAAGCGTAGTGTTAGTTCTGGCAGGTCACGTGAGTCAAGCTTGCATTGGCTAACTCTCAGCTGATCAACATCTACCTATAGGAAAATAATGCCTATCAAGGCATTTCTATATAAGGTCTATTCAGTATTATTCAGCAGGTTTATCGCTTGCTCTGGAGCAAATTACCCTCCTCCATCCCCAGCTCCTCCTTTCGTCACAGTCAGGACTTGGCTTTCTGATATTCCTTGTTTTCCCAAATCAGACTCCTTTTATCTTGAATAATGTTGTAACACTAAAATGTCATTAAGAACATTAATGTTATCTGCTACATTTTTTCTTTCCGTTCTTTTTACTTTGCTGCTCTCCCTGCTCATTCATGACAGGCTGCGTGGATAAGCAGGGAGTTTTTTTGCCCAGAACGGAACCATACCACCAACCCAAACTGTATGCTAGGTGACGGTCATTTTGACGATTGTGGTCCTGACAGAAATGCTGTCATTTGAGCTTAACTTGTATTGAACCTAGAATATTCCTTTAATTTTAAATGCAAAATATACCGTTTTATAACTTCTATTTGTGAAATGTTTTGTTTGAATAGTGTGTGTCTGCTCTCTTTGAAATAAACGCCACTTAGTTTTATATTTTGTCACAGAATTCAAAGATACAAGTTAGGCTTGAGTGCTTTTTAGTATGACTTGTGTGTAACTGAACTTGCCGATCACATTTTGCGAAACAGATTCACATGAAGACTATGCCGGCTGCCATGTACCGCTTGTTAACAGCCCAGGAGCAACCAGTTTACATCTAAAGCTACAACGCTTTCTCAAGCCTCCTGCCCTGTTGTCACCAGATATAACCTTAATCTTGATGTGAAACTGTCAGCCCTGTGGACTGGTGACTGTGTGACTGAATCCACTGAAGCTCTGCTCAACATGGCTCTCCGTGACGCTTCGGTTTCTCTTCACTGCCTCCCCTGAGTTCTTCATCTCTTCGTTTCTGTTGCTATGAGTGAGTATGCTGTGCTGTGTAATTCCTCTCTCTGTGTGCGCTCAGCTCGCTCCATGGAAGGAAGCTGAGAGAGTGTGAGAAATATTTAAAAAGCCCCATCACAGTAAGTGGTGTCCTTCAAAATAGCTATTAAAACGATATACCCGTATTTACAACACAGCAGTTTGTGGGTGACAAAAAGTACACCTGTGTGATCGTTAGGTGTACAAAATGAAAAAGGAGTTTGCCTTATCATACTTTTATGCTGTTATTTATTCAAGCTTGGCAACCATCAAGTGTTTTAGATTCAACTTTAATTTTAAGGGCAGCTGTTAGTCTGAGGAATATGTTGAAAAAATGGCAAAATTCTGAAGAAAAAAAAAATCAATCCATGATTTGGAATTTGAGTTGAATTGGTCAAAGCCCACAGGATGCTGAATTGGAATTGGAAAGACAAGAAAAGTAATTTACTGAATTACAATTTAAAGACATTCACTAGTTATTATTACATGAAATAATAACGTCATTCATTTTAACTAATTATGTCTATATATTTCCTGACATGTAGAATGTATTTTCTCAAAAGATTTAGCACATTAGAACAGCCACCAAAACAGATTTGAATTTTTTTCCATACAAAACCAAAAAATGTGTTGGGAATCAACAGTTGATAGTCTGGGAAATCAAGTATTTTTTGTTTTGTTTGTTATTTTAATTATGGTCCCTGAAATGAAAGTTAATTTATTAAATACAGTAAAATATATACAATTATGAGTGTAATTTCAAACATTATTAATATTATTTAATGTTTCTGAAAATAGCCCATATGTCGTATGATCATATTTATAGGTCATTTATACGGAAACAAAAAAATATGCATAGATTCCATTTTAATTTAACTTAAATTACAATTACAATTACAATTCTGCATCCTGTTTGCTGAGAAAGGGACCAAACCATTGAGTCCTTTTAAAAAGGTTTTCTTAACCACAGTTCCTGTTAAAATGACGATGACCTTTTTTGCTCATCTGTGGTGAATAATTCAGTGGGATAATTCATGTCTAGTGTATCTGGACAGTAGAGCACATGGATATTGTGGATGAAATGCCTTACAGAATGATGATGCCATATTTTGAAAAAAGAAAGTGTTTTGGAGATGTATGGAGGTGCATTTGGAGATCTGAGAATTATATTAGTCAGGCAGTCGGGAGAAAGCAACCTAAAAATTAACTTAAATTGTTGTTTTACTGCTTTTTTTTTTTTTTTTTTTTTTTTTTTTTTGCATTTTTTTTATTTGTTGTATAAATGACTGCATTCCTTATTTTTATGCACAGAAAATCTTCCTTTTTGTCTTAATAAGGATCTGTATATGAAAATAATATTGCTAATTAAATATGCTCATATTGGTAGCATTTTCTTTTGAACATTCATACTTGAAAAACCTTGTGTGAAGAAACTTAAGGTGATATAAATCTTGTGTTGACAGTTTCAGGATGGTTTTGATTAATTCCATTCTGAGATCTCATTTATATTTTTCTTTTTTTTTTTACCTTGTTATGAAGTTGAGTCCATTACAGGCTTTTTTATCAACTACAAGTTTAATTCATGTGTGCTACTTTTTCACTCAGTGTTTTTTCACTTAAGAACAGAATGTGTCTTAAAAGAACTGAATTCACTCTGGTACATTTGGTACATTTGAGCTGGATTTGCTGGTATGACTCTGTTTTGGCTACTAATCCAGTATAATGTTTTAGTACAGAGCATCTCAACATGAACCGATTCAAAACTCACTGTATTTCCAGAGCTTTGCCCTCTCAGACAAACATGATAGTACCATTTTTGCAAGAACTGACCGGTGTTTATCCGTCTGCATGCTTTGGCACATCTCCATTATTACTTACTTACTTAGAGACTGTCTGAAGTCTGTTAAATATCACTATATATGTGATTTTGAAAAAAACTGTCAAACAAGCATAACTTGTCTTAGGAGAAGCTTGTTGCCATGAATTATTGACCACTTTTCCCCCATTTTACCATCAGGCGTGCTTGTGTGTTGCCTGGAATTTCTTTATTTGTGAGAATACACTCACACTAATGAAACTGTCATTTGCAAAGGTATCTTTTTCCATCATATGAATGATACAGCAATATAATTTACATCTCAATATGTTGACATTACTGCAGTGTTGAATCTGTATTAATGCTAGAAATATTGTGATGAATTTTATTGCTGTGCAATGACTGTATTTGATGGTATTATGGATCTTTGAGATGTTACCAAACTCCTTGTAATTGTTCCGCTGGTAAGAAAAGGTACTTCTTATCGCTTAAAATGTGAAATTCACCCCCAAACCACATTCTGACCTCATTATCACTGTATTCTTTTACTAGTGGAATCAAAAGTCATTAACACACAGGAAGGGCCTCATGTTTCATTGTTTTTTGCTTTATGTGAAGCATGGTCTTTTTGTATGCATTGCTATTTATTGTAGTGAGTGTGATGTGCGATTACAAATTACTTCATTATAAAATAAAACCAGCTAGACACACATACATATATATATATATATATATACACACACACACACACATTATATTTATTTACATATAGCATAATATATACAGTATATCCAATTAATATATATCATGTGTACAATAATGAAGGTAAACTGTGCAAAAGTCTTTGACACCAGTGTGCTATTATTTAATATTTGTTTTAAAGCAATAATTCACCCAAAAATGAAAATTTAGCTGAACATTTACTCATCCTCAGGCCATCCAAGATGTAGATGATTTTGTTTCTTCATCAGAATAGATTTGTAGAAATTTAGCATTACATCACTTGCTCACCAATGGATCCTCTGCAGTGAATGGGTGCCGTCAGAATGAGAGTCCAAACAGCTGATAAAAACATCACAATAATCCACATGTAATCCACACGACGCCAGTCCATCAGTTAACATTTGGTGAAGTGAAAAGCTGTGTGCTGGTAATAAACAAATCCATCAAGACCTTTTAACTTCAAACTGTTGATTGTGGACAAAATACTAGGCCTTAATCCATAATAATGCTTCCTCCAGTGGAAAAAGTTCATCACATATTGTCCTCTCGCGTCAGAATCCACCACCATATTTGCTTAGAACAGTTTTTGACTGATTTGGCTTGTAAACAGTGCTTGATCTGTGCATATTTCTTTCCCGATTCAGACAATGTGACTTTTTCACTGGAGAAAGCAATGTTACGGATAGAGGTTTTGTTGGATTTGTTTCTTACAAATACTTTTCACTTTTTTTCTTACAAAGCTTTTCACCTCACAAGACATTAATTAATTGATGGACTGGAGTCGTGTGGATTATTGTGATGTTTTTATCAGCTGTTTGGACTCTCATTCTGACGGCACCCATTCACTGCACAGGATCCACTGGTGAGCAAGTAATGTAATGCTCAATTTCTCCAAATCCGTTCCAATGAAAAAACTAACTCATCTACATTCTTGATGGCTTGAGAGAGAATACATTTTCACTTTTGGGTGAACTATTCCTTTAAGGGGCATCACATCATAACTGACATCTGCAGGCTGAATAACATCATTTTTGCCATAATGGAATTGATCCGCTTCCACCATGGCGCTGTTTATTGTAAAAATGATGCACAATTTTATTCCGAATTGAAAGAGCAGCTTACATAAAACTATGCTAGTCAACTCAACAATGCAGATGGTTATGTTTTTGGACTGTAAGATTAAAGCATCAACACTTAACCTCAGTGTACCTTCAGTGTCCCAGACTTCTGCACTATACAGTACAGGATATGCTGTGTCCGACTCACAATAATGTGCAAGCTTTAATGAGTAATACATTTAAATATATAATATTGGAGAAACTAAACAAGTGGCTTAATGTGTTATTGAAATGACACGGGTATGAAATATCAGTGTACATATGTAACGCAGGATGTGCAGAGTATAGGACGGGTTCAACAGATTCTCACCTCATGACTGTAGAATACAAGGCCTCAGCAGAGTATGTGGTTTATACTGAAGTAGAAAAGAAACTGTGGGTTTGGTTAGTATTTATAATGCACTTGCTCTGAATGTAACTACAATTATATGTTTGTCAAAGTAAAAACACACTTTCTGTAAAGCAATAGCAATGTTTATTTATTTGCTAGCTTTTCTGTGATTTAACTATTTAGACACATTCCTTTACCATAGCAGGAATGTTTGTAACAGTATTTACGACATTAAACAAGCTACTGAGAGCGTATGCAACTAGAATGTCTCTTTAATCTCTTAACTTTATGTTTTTGAAAGAAGTCTCTTGTGCTGACCAAGGCTGCATTTATTTGATCAAAACTACAGTAAAAATAGTAATATGTGAAATGTTATTACAATTTAAAATAACTGCTTTCTATTTTAATATATTTTAATGTCTAATTTATTCATGTGACGGTAAAACTGAATTTTCAGCAGTCATTACTCCAGTCTTCAGGGTCCTTGAGAAATCATGCTAATATGCGGATTTGCTGCTTAAGAAACATTTCTTATTACCAGTGTTTAATGTTTTTGTTGCTACTTTTTTGTCAGAACTATTTGATATAAAAAAAACTTGAAACAAATCTTTTTCAACATTCTTCTTCATTATTATCTGTCACTTTTTATCAATTTAATGACGCCTTACTGAATAAAAGTATGAATTTCTTAATCAAAAAACTTGAGCCCAAATATTTGAACGGTAGTGTATAATAAAAAAAATTCCTTCTACCCCGTCAAAATGTCAATATTGACTGAATGAATACCACAGACAACAGGCAGATGCTTTAAAGATCATATTTAATCTTGGGGAAATATAGATGGTAGGTTAGGTCACCCATATAATGCAGATGAGCCAATTCAGTAATAAAGCACAAAATCTCAGAAGGACATCTTGGGAGAAATAATAAAATAGTTGAGAATGGTCAAATAAAAATAAAAAAATCACAAATTCATCTTCTACCTCACAATATGCTGATTTAATCAGCAATTCCCCACATCACATGAACTAAATAAAGCCATACATTTGCATGTTTTTCTTATTATAATGATTATTAATATTGTATTTTTCATATAGTCAATTTGTGAGTGTTTAAAATAATTTTTAAATAAGGAACATGGAAATCTGGTAAATAAACATTTACCAGGAATTTCCAGTGTTTTATCATAATGCATAATGTAGAAAAAGTAAAAACAATCATCAGTAAATCCAAACAACTGGAATTTCCAACTGAAAAAGCTAAAAAAAAAGATGAATAATATTCACTATACACACTGACAACAAAATCAGATATGTTTTATAAATGAAGTGAAATCCTCTGTCAGCTTCCTTCATGTTGTGATGTTCACTATACCTCCACTCGACTGGGACACGTCACTCAGAGGACAGTTTCTTGGAAGACTCCTATAAGGCTGTGTGGACGTTCCTGTTCCAGGCGGCGGGATCCTGCCCGAGAGCCCATCCTGGAATTAGTTCGAGAATGGGTGCCTGTCCTGCGCTCCGGCCCAGCCTGCAGCTGCGCCCAGGTGAAGGAGCTGAGGTCACCACAGCTGCGCAGGTGAAGGATGCCCGGCCGTTTGTGCAGCGTGTTGGAGGTGGGCTCCATCTGCGCCTGCCTGCGGAGGGTGGACTGCGCTGGTGCAACCTCTGAAACTGTGATGGCCTGCAAACATTCATGAAAATGATGA